TTCATCGAAATCCGAAGGAGGGTTGTCTTGGACTTGTGACTGTTGATTTGTGAGAAGAAGACCTCGATTTATCGTCCCGTGACCCCGATGAATCCGTGCTGAGCTTGCATCCGTCACGTGATGATATACACCAGAAACAATAATCTACGAAAAGTCAAAAAAAAGTACTAAACCAAGAAATGTTGTCGGCTAAAATTCTTCCTACTTCCTATACCTAACTTCGGGATCTTAATGAGGCACCCCATGATTTGGTTGGCTATTTTGTGCTTTCCTTACATGACGAGTGAAGTTTATGCATGGAAGGAGATCGAATGTGGTGAAAACTTTCTTTATGTAAATCAGCTAGCGCATAATCTGGTAACACACATCTACAGGTGCAATTAGCCGACAGAGAGGATGTGACTTTTTAGGCAAACAAAGCCTTTCACAAATCAAATTTTACAGTGTGACTGACGATGATACAAACTTATATTTGTCTTATCAATCGATGACATTACTTCTATACGAACTATGTTCCTTATTTAAGAACTGCTGATAGCCCTAATAAATACTCGTAGAAAATTTAAGCAATTTCGTCTCTCATAATGACAAAAACTGATTCGCCTCAACGACAATCCAAACTGAAAACTGTAATTTGGAAGGGGCCAGACTTGTGTAGCGATTTGTGTCTCCCCTATAAGCCACTGGTACACTTGGTTATGTTGCAGAGTGGCAATAAGCCTCCTTCCTGTTTATAATCCTACTAAGGGTTTAGGTGAGACCAAGGCAAGATGGAAAGTGCAGTATTCCGAATGAGTAGGCTTTGAAACTTCCAGGAGAACTTGAGTAAAAACTGTATTCAATCTTGGTAGCAAAAGGCAATGTTAGACCGATAGTGATTTTTCTAACAATGAGCTGAGTAGGGCCTCACGATGCCTTGTCTCACCAATGCTCGACTGGACTGCATTTTCGACCTTTGCTTACCGTCTCTCATCAGTACCTCTAACGGGACTCGAAACCGGGTTGTTAGATTGCAGAGTACAATTTCGTAG